ATTATAGACCTCCTTTTAGAGTAATTATGCACCCCGACCCCGTCGACAATATAAATCATCCAGTGAAAGCACGACTCATCTCAAAACTACACAACCATGAGCATGTTCTAAGAGAAATGGTAAGTGTTCTCAAAATTTTCTGAAAATTCCTCATTTCTCCTTTACATCCATTTCAGCAGAGATACAGTCGCAGTCGCAAGGATTGGTCGGCTTTGCCGCAATCAGCACATGCAGCAAATACCATTAATCCCATCCGACGAATCGCTGACGCTGTTACGGTAGCGGCGAATCCGAACAAAAGCCTCATCAAGCTGCATCTTGGCGACCCAACACTTACTGGAGCTTTGCCACCAAGTAATGTGGCTGTAGATGCGCTTGTCGAGGCAACGACCTCCCACATGTAAGAATCTCATACCTAAATATTTTTGGAACTCTAAATACTCCTTCCTTCTCAGGTTCGACGGATACGGTCCAGCTGTTGGCGCATTAGCAGCTCGCGAAGCTGTTGCCGCCAAGTACAGTCATCCGGAAGCTCCAATTAATGCCGATGACGTCATTTTGGCAAGCGGCTGTTCTCATGCATTGCAGATGGCCATTGAAGGTCTAGCAAATCCTGGGGACAATATTCTTATCCCTCAGCCAGGATTCCCACTCTATTCAACGTTGTGCAGGCCACATGGGATTGAGGTTTGTGAAATTTCGGTTTTCAAAAGAAACAATCAAGCATCACTTGTTATTACTTTCAATAAGAAGGAGCATTGATTCCAATTAGGCGTTGAATTTGGTGCGAAATTCCGTACGATTTTATCTTTCCCTACAACATTTCCTTTTACGGTAAACCTTTGATTACCTTCAATACGAAAGCTTGGACTCACTTTGTTGCGAAATTTCTAAAATGAGAAGTTTACTGAGCGAAGTGCCACCAAACCGCAGAAAAAAAGTTTCGTTCCAATCAAGACCATTGAAATCTTCTTTCTCAGGATCGCGCCTACAAAGTCGACATGGCGAATGGCGGTCAGATTGACCTGGAATATCTCGAAACGCTAATCGATGACCGTACTCAAGCTCTCATCGTGAACAATCCTGGGAATCCAACCGGAGTGGTATTCAGCAAAGAACATCTGCAGGACATTTTGGCGGTAAGTATTCATTACACATCGACGTTCCGAACGAGGCTTTGATGCCTATGCAGACGTAGACGATGATGTTCGTATGTGAGAAAGACTGGTTTTTGGTTTAGTTGGCTAGTCGTCATCGACTTGTGATCATTGCGGACGAGATCTATGGAGACTTGACGTATGATGGTGCAGTTTTCCATCCGATCGCTACGCTTTCCCCAAAGGTTCGCTTCATTTTCGATTAGATTTGGAAAAAAACCGTCGCTTAAGTACAGCCACACTTATAGGTGCCAATAATCACTTGTGATGGAATTGCAAAGC